AGTAACCCTCTGCTCACATGTGTATGAGGAACTGCTGAATCACAGCCTGAAACTCTGATTGATCACCTGAGGCGAGCAATAAGTCAGCCACAGGAGCACAGGTGAAGGCAATTCACCTGTGCTGCCGGAAGGGGTGGAGCCTGGCTTCACCTCTCCTAGACCTATTTAAGAGCTGACTACCAGTGGGGGAGGATCTTTTTTGAGAGATCCCTCCTTTGGAGTTTTATAGTGAGCCCAGGTCAAGGGTAAGCACTCTCATTTATTCTATTTTTGGTATAATAACCTGCTTAGCCAAACTCTCTTGTTTATTTCATAATTGTAGCATCTGTATATTCATTGATTGTTAGATAGAATGATTCCACTTGCCCAGAAACAGTGCTTTCATTACTGAGACATCCTCAGAGCATTTGAGGCCTCAGTTGCCCTTGCCCTTTATTCCACTGAATGTTTCACACCTGCTTTGTGCATGGAACAGTAGGAGGCACTGGCTATTCGTTAATGTGAACACATTGATGTCATTAGATAAAATCCTGGAGAAAACTGTATTAAAGGAATCATTCTCCTTCCTGTGACTAAGAACAGTCAGCTCTGCTTGGAGATGGTGCAAAGTCTGTTTTGTTGCTCTGCAGAGGCGGTGATGCTGGGCACCAGAACAGGTAGCCCCTTCAAGACCAGCATGTGAAGGCCCCAGGGGGTTGTTGGTGGGCAGCCCAGCACAAAGAAAGCTCTGTCTTAGCACCTTTGCTATGGTGAAAGGCTGGGGGAGCTGAGTTTGTTCAGCCTGGTGAAGAGAAAGTTCCAGGGGACCCACTGAGGACTGAAAGTGGGCACTGCTACTGGGCTGGTCAGAAGCTGCGATGTGCAGAGGTGTGGAGTCAACACTGCTGGAGAACACTGACACCACTTTGAATACACATGGTCTGTGACAATAGTCATGGTATCCCAGCACTTGATACTTGGGGGCTTGGATAGAAGGGCCCCCCAGCCCCACCCCTGCCATGTGCTGGCTGCTCCCCAGCTCAGGCTGCCCAGTGCCCAGCCATGGCCTCAGGCACCTGCAGGGACTGGGCACCCACAGCTCTGGGCAGCAGTGCTGGAGCTGCACTGCCTCTGGGTAGAAGAACTTCCATTCACACCTGACCTAAACCTCCTCTTTCAGTTTAAAGTCACTTCCCTTTGTCCTGTCAGCACCTGCTTATGTAAAAAGTTGCTCTCCCTCCTGTTCAGAAGCTTCTTCCAAGTACCAGGTTATGAGTAATTTTGGCAAAAAGACAATAAGGAAATGTGCAGAGACATGGCAGGATTAGGGCAGAGTTCTAGTGAGTGCCAGCTCACCAGCAGGTGGGGAAAACATGCAAGCATTACGGCTTTGAGAATATGAAATTTGGGAAACTTCTCAGTGCTTCGGATACACGTCCTCTTTGACACAAGAGGCACAGGACAAGGGAATGGCCAGATAGCCCCCCCGCACAGCCATTATGATGTCTGCAAAGGGGCCTGAGATGATAAATTAGGACCACAGGACATCCTCACGTTGGTTCCTTCTCACCCTCGTTCCTTGCCTGCCCAAAGGTGACACCTGCCAGGCCTCCAAACAGCCCAAGCCCAGCACAGCCTTCTCAGCCAGTTCCTGGGGGTGCTGCGTGCAGAGGTGAGCATAGCAGCAGGGCATGCCAGCAGAGCCCCACAGGCAGCAAGGCATGGCCATAGCATGGCCACACAACCCAGTGCTGCAACATCAGACAGGAGCACCTTCCTTGTGGAACTGCAAAGCCCTGAGGCAGCTGAAACAGACTCAACAACTCCAAAGCAATGGTTCTAACATTCTGCGTATATGGATTTTTTCTCATATTGATTAATCCATTTAGACTTTTTTGTTTATTTGTTTTTTGTTTGTTTATTTGCAGTTAGGCTGCCTTGCAACTCATTTATGCTCTTAATGCAGCCCCTGTGGAATCAACGCCTCCCCTGCATTAATTACAGGCTCCAGCACAGCCATGCTGCTTGGAGCATCCTCCCAGCTGTGCTTCAGCTCCACTCTGTGGCTTGTACAGCACTTGCCTCAGCAGGATGGCTCTGGACTACTCCCAGTCTGAATGCAGGGAGGTGCACCTTCTCTGAGAAGGAGCAGAAATAGCTATAGAGTAGGTGACCACATCATGAAGGAACAGCCATTCACAGTACATCCTTTTTGTAGTAACAGGGCTGCACTGCCAGCTTTGCTGGACAACAAACAGCAGGATCCGAGGTAAGTTATTTTCTTTTCTAGAGGAAGGAATCAAGACGTTCTGTTTCATCTTTGTCCATTTTCCAGAAGCTCAGTGCTAAGGGCTCCATCCACAGCAGCTGGCATTATTCGTCCAGCTGACAAAGGTGCACCTTAGCAATAGCTGAAACGAATACTGCTCCAAACAGAGGTGCCATCTGTCAACAGACTCCTGTTAATTGCTATAAGCTTAAGAATCTCACATTTGTTACTTCTGGAATAGAAAAAATAAAGGTACAAGAGTAACTAACAATAGGAACATTAAATAGAAATAGAAAAGACCTGAGCTGAAACAAGACACACAGAAAAGTTAGGACTGCTGTAAGAGACAATGCAGAAAATAACAAAAATTCAACTCACCGTTAAGTGGTGTAAAGTGAAAGCATGGAGCAGTCAAGCAGTGAGACAAGAACCACTCCACGTGCCTGCATGGAATTAACAGTAGATGACCTTGGTGCCCTTCAATGACTCTAAGCATTGCTGTCACAGGAGTTAAAATACTGGTGGCATAGCTGCCATGTAAAATCAATTGGATATGCAAAACTATACTCTGGATGCTCACTGGCGACACAATGAAGCCATCAGCAGAAATCCCCCCTGAAAACAGATGGATACAGTCCACCTGCCCTTTTGACGAGACAGAAGGAGGTGGAAATTAAACCAGAGGCTGCATGAACTGGCAGGGAAGGATGTTCTATTTCTCTTCCCAATGAAAGAAGGGTGTGCCGTGTCACTGGGATGGAGACAGCTTTCTACAACCCACTTCACATCTTCTCATTTCCAAGATCGATAAAACTCTCGAAGCAACTCTTTTCAGGGTGGTGCAGAACAACAGAGGCCAACATACAAAATACATATCATTGAGACTCAGCTCTGGTTTGCCTGATGTTAAGAGTCAATGAAGGAAGTGAAAATTGAATGGTGGCTCCCAAGGTTGAATACAGTGGGCTTTGCACTGTAGATGTCACCTGCAGTGAATCTCTCGGGTACCCAGTGGTCAGCTCATGCCATTGTTGATCCTTAATTGATGATCTTCACCCAGGACTGAGCAGAATCCACATTCCAACACAATTTGCATTGAAAGCACATATCAGAGGACAAGAACAATACCACTTTGCCTCACTGCACAGCTCTGGCAGCTGGACAGCTCTCCACATACACACAAAGCCAACATACCTCATGCATCAGTGCCATTTCACAATGCACGCTGCAGTTTGGCCTGACCCTAATTCATTGCTGAATCAGTGCTGCAAACACATCACCTATTACACTTCATTAGTGTGCAGTAATCTGTATTTACACACACACAATTCTCTCTTTTGCTTTCAGATTATCATACCAGATTATCCAGCTGTTTTAGCTGGAAGGAAGGGGTAGTGTTATCACAGCCATAGGTTGCCTCAGGCTATGTAAAGGCAAGAAAATATTTCTGCCATGACATGCTACAGCTTTCCATTTATGCCTGCCTTCCTGCTGACTTCAACAAGAATAACAGCCTTCATCTCCTTCCCCTCCCAGATTTATGACCATCTCCCCTTGCAAACATTCAATGCGTGTTGCTTTGTATGTGCCGACTTCCCTCTTCGCCTTAAGTGTGCAATTGATTCATAGAGTTGAACTCCAAGTACTCAACCTCAATCTATATTTATCTGAAAGTTCCTTGCTTCTGTTTCACACGTAACAAATGGATGATGCCCCCAAAGGCCTACTTCTTCCCCACCTCCTTTGTGGGTCTAATTAGAGACATCTATTACAACCTCACCAAAAGCATGATGGAAGAACAATTACATTTTCTGTTCTCGGTTGCTAAAACTGCAGTTTATTATGGGAATCTGGCTGCTACATGTTAAATCTCAAAAACAAAACCTGATAATTAACTTCCAAAAACATGCTCAAAGTAACCTATCCATCAAAGAAGCAGGAATACTGCCAGGACAGTCTGCAAAGCATTGACACTGTTGGGCCAATCTGGTTTTCAGCCAGGAAAAGCACCAGGCACTATTCATCTTTTCCCCTTTCAGGCAGGATGGTCCCCAGGCTCCACGCTACCAATGCTGCTTAGTTACATCAGTAACTGGTGTTCTGCTCTAAAGCAACAGAATCAGTCACTGGGTTGGTGCAAAGAGCCAACAAACCAAACAGGCACCTTTCATCAAATCTGGAAATGCCCCTTACAATTTGTCCAAATGGCAACTGCAAAGACAGCACTCTCTGTGGATACAGGCAAGCAAAGAGCAAGAGGACAAGAAGAGCACAGTCAGAGTATAAAAGATCTCATGGATGTTAAGGCCAAGAAAGCACATAGAGTAAAGAACAAAACACTCACCAAACTGCAGTGACTTCCCCTAAGGGCTCGTGTTCAGTATTCAGTCTGTTGAAAATGGACAAACCAAGACACCAGAGTAATGGAGTTTAAAGCCCTTGAGGAAAGTGAAAAAACAGTATCAAGGCAGCAACATGAGGGCTTCTGGCAGCTGATTCCTGCAGTAGGTTACTGATTATTTGGAAACATACCACCACATACTCCCTTCCCAGAACATGCTGCATTTGTGCCCTGCCATGTACTGCTCATCATGAGTTGAACTTAGATGTAACAGAAAGCACTGTGATGTTACTTTTGGGGACACTGGACATTCCAGTGAGACAGACTAGCCACACAGCACCATAAACTTCAGCTATATAATATACATATAAAATAACAAAATTGTACAGATGTTTTCTGTAGACAAGACCAAGATAAGAAGATTTATTTTAAGTACAAAAGAATGACAAGCAGTGTTATCTTGTTAGCTATGCATACAGATAAATATTTGAAGAAGTCTACCAGGGGAGAAGGTTAATGAGCAGACTGCAGGGCCTAATGAGCCCCACAGAGTTTTCCTACAACCTACCTTAAGGAAGACGGGGAGAAAGAAGAGACCATCTTTTGTGAAAGTACTTAAAGTTTCTGATTACAACAAAACAGAAGGGTACAGTTCATGTAAAAGTCTGACACACATCTCATGCTAGTTCTCCTCTGCTTCAAAACCTGGATGACTATTGTCCAGTAATGAATGTTATCAAACTGTTAACATTCTTTTACTTCATGCTAAACAGAGTGTCAGCAGTAAGTACAAAAGGTTTCAACAGAATTAGAGGAAAAGATATTTCAGTATTAGTGGTATAAAAGGGGATGAATTCTGCCGCAGCTTTGAGTGCTCCTCCACAACATAGCAATAAATCACATTAAGCAGCTAAGGATCTGACACAGTTTTGTAATGCTTCTGGTTACATTCCTGTAATTCGAGCCTAGGAAGAGTAGAAGTTCTCCAGTCAGAGCCCAGGTTCAGGCTGCTGAAAGCTATAACCAGTCATGTGAGCTTACCCTCCTCACTCCAGAGGCATCAAACAAGAGCAGCACAGGCTCCAGGTGTGAGATGCATCACCTCCAGCCAGACAGATAAGACCAGAGCAAGGAGCTGTTCAGTACAGAGCGAGAAGTTGTTGCAGAAGGGCTAGAAGAAAAACAAGGTGTCCAAAGCCATGTGGCTGTGTTCAAACAGCTCCAACAATTCTGGTCTTCTCACGTGGTGAGGAATCCTAGTTTTCCCAAATCTGTCTTTACAGCAGCAAGAGAAATTAGTGACAGAAAATGACTTAGAAAGCTGGAAAAGGTTGTGGAGTAAAAGTGATTTTAAGTGTTTCTATGTGAGCACTTTAGTTAGTCTGCGAGCACGCCCTCAGGAAGCTCTACCACTACAGGAGCACAATCATCAGGCTCTGCGTCAAAGTCCCACTTAAATTTCTTTGTTAGGTGAGCTTTGAATTTTTCAGCCTTTTTCCTTAAGGCCCCATCAACAGCAGCATTGCACACGTAGGAAAAAAACACCTGAAAGAACAAAGTAGATGTCAGTGAGGTTTGTGGCACATGCTATGCTATCATCAACAGGATGTGGCAGGGATAGGTTCACTGGGAAAGGATGAGACTTCCTGGGAACCAGACCTATATGGGACAGCCTAAGCAGAGCCTGCACATCCCTTCTCATCCCACAGCCATTCTGCCTTCAGTTGGGCTAACAAACAGTAAGGCAGTAACTTTGTTTTAAGTAGTAGCATACATGCAATTAGATATGTATTACAGAATTCTGAAATATGCTCAATTGTGAGTAAAAGATCCCCATGTGAGCAGGAGGGAAAGAAAAGCACAGAATTCACCTGCCACTGTGAAGCGGGCAGCTTCACAGCATGAGCTGACATGGTCAAAGGTGGCTACACCCATGGGTTTTCACAGCTGGATGGATCATGAAAGCTCCCAAAGCAGTTCTGTAACACAGTATCACCAACACTTCTTTATTTCATCTTTTTCC